CACAGAGACTACCTTCCCATTTGGGGAAGCAAACTCTAATAAGCCAAAGTCCTCTCCACACCCCATCACAGTGTTCTTCTCTCATTGCTCCTGTCTCTTTTAGGATGTAAGTTATCAATGCCTGCTTTATTGATATAGATCTTCCAATTCATTAACTTGCACAGTCACCTTGTGAGTGGCTTAATTAGGAAAAGTTCTGATATGAGCAACATGGTATACCTAGGAAAAAGACCAATGACTTGGTCCTTTGTCCTGCAGCCAGCTCACCAGTGCAGACTTACTCAATACTAAAGACAAGTTTACTTCAGTCCCTAATTTCTTTTTCCTGTAATATGACCTCACTAGGAACCATTCCAATCCATCAGACAACGGAGGAGAGAAAGGAATCATGTTCCCAGTTCCATTCTCCCAGGAGGTTCCTGTGCCTCTAAATAAATTTCTGGATGTTTGATAATAGATAATTAGAAAGAAGTTATGTCATCTCTACCTGCCAACAGAGTCTGAAATCCAGAAAAGCACAATTTTTTCAAGAAATGTTTGAATTTGAGCAATTTGCATGTGTATTGGTAGTCCTGAACATCTTTTCATGATGTAGCTAAATAAAATCTGTATTGCTTCACAGCTGGGCCTGTGTACTTCAGTGGTTGAGCGTCATGAGGGTTTTTTCTGTTAAACATTTGCAAGTGATTCAGCATAATCTATATATATAAAAAGCCAGTGACTGCAACACCATAACGACCGAAATGACTGGTCACTATGATGCCCAGTGCAGCCAGTGAACCCGCCCGATCGGGGGGCAGGGCCCATGGCCAACCTTCCACGGCCCCTCACCCCAGCCATCCCCAACCCTGATCAGCCTCTCCCACCCCAATGGAGGGCAGGGCAGCCGGCCAACCTCCTACAGACCCTCCCCTTGGCCAGCCCCACCCACAATGGGCCCCCACCACCCCAATGGGCCCACAGCCCCTCCCCTTGGCAGACCCTGCCCCTGATTGTCCCCCTACCCCAATAGGGAGCAGGGCCACCCGGCCAACCTCCTGCAGCCCCTCCTCCTGCCTGGCCCCACCCCAAGTTGCCCCCCACCCCAATCAGGGGCAGGGACGCTGGCCAACTGCCTGCAGCCCCTCCCTCTGACAGGCCCCACCCCTGATGAGCCCCCACCACCCCAATCGGCCCACAGCCCCTCCCTGGGGTGGGGCCAGCCAGCCCACTGCCCACAGCCTCTCCCCACAGCCGCTCCCCCCCCCACAATCGGGGGC